TATTAAACCCATGTTAGCTTGAAAAATGTTAATTAAAGTAAAAAATTAAATACTGCTCTGGATTTTACTTTTACTGCACTTTGAAGGATAACATAATACAAATGTATTAATTAGTGAATATAAATAAAAATATTATGAATTAAATAATCATTCAGAAACATTTCTAAATCATAAATTTACCAGCAGAAGGTTGTGCAGATTGTTGTGGTCGTGGGATTAAAGTTAAAATTTTTTGAAAAATAAAATTACAATTTATTTGCAGTCGATAAGATAGGCATAGACATATTAGAAACAATACTTTTACACATATTATGCATACACATATTAAAAAATAATAGTTTATAAACTTACCACTTGTTGCTGAAGATGTAACTAAAGGTTAACAAAGTTGAAATAAAAATAAATATTGCGAAGAAATGCCAAGAAATGTATTAACATATTGAAAAGTAAAAGTTTGTAAACATACCAATTATAGCAGATATAGATGGAACTAAGTTATAAAAAGTGTAATAAAAAATAAATATTGCAATTGATCTGAAATACATACTTATATGAACAGGTTTTTTGAAGCATGCAATAAAAATATTTTTAAGCTTACCACCCAATGCAGTTGATGATGGAACTAGAGCTAAAAAGTTTAAAAAAATATATATATGCTCTTGTCAAGTAATGCAAACATTAAAAAGAAATAATTGTTAAACTTACCACTCATTGCAGATGAAGATGTTGCTAGAGGTAAAAAAAAGTAATAAAGAATAAATATTGCAATTGACGACTTTGAAATTGGTATTAAATCTATTTACAGATTAAAAAGTACTAGCTTTTAAAATAACTAACCATAGCAACTGATAAAAGGAGCGAAGATCAAAAATAATATAAAGTAACCCAAGATATACATGCTTATATTTAATATTCAAGTTATCCTATACAAACTTACCAGTGATAGGCTGGGTAGATTGAACTAAAAATAACAACAAAACCCTATAAGCAACTATCTGTAAGTAAGTTCTGTGGAAGATGCAACAACTTTATTAACATAATGAAAACTTTATTAACATAATGAAAACTAACAGTGAAAATATAAAGAAAATATATTAATAAACAACAAGCTAACATTAAGAATGGGTTATTCACTTTGTTTATAGATTAATTACGTTATATTGGTTGTGGTTATATATGAAATACGTGATTTATACTTATGGAATCTCAAAAACTCTCTATGTCTAGCCGGATCTAAACAACAAGTCAACATTAGGCATGCTTGTACTGTGATTTAAATATTAATCCACAGATAAAGAAGTATACAATCCAAAAATAATGAAAGATGATAATAAGTTAATAAGTTTTATCATATTTGAAAAATACTAACAAGTCTTTTGCAAGGAATAAACCAATGAAGTATCTGATTTTTAAACTTATTTATATGTTGTGTCTTTATAAAATTGTCAACAGATACTATTAGTTAACAATCCATTCAAAAGCAAAAGTTTTTAACTGAAACATTAATCTTCTCTTTTATGTAACATATAAAAACAGATTAGGAGTTAATATGTTTTTATATGTTACATAAAAAAGAATTTTAAATCAAAAAATATTCATAAATGATTTATGAATATTTCTTGATTTAAAATAGTTATTATTGATAATGTTATAAAAATTAAACTTACTACCTGTTAGAGAGTCAAGTAAAGTTCTATCTGCAGAATTCATTTTTTATTTTAATCTAATAATAAAAATCAAAATAATACAATATTAGAATTAATATTTTTTTGTAGAATTGGCCCCCCTATCTGCCCCCATATTTCGCTTAACGAAAAAAACAACAAGAAACAAACAACAGAAAGCCAAAATTAGGTACCAAAATTAGGTACCAAAATTAGGTACCAAAAGTACTAATTAAACTATCTGCGGAGCTTTATTTTTTGTTGAAATTTGGCATGTGCACAGGAAATGCATGTAGAAAATTATCTAAATAATAAAAAAAAGGGGGATCAACATTTCCACTACTAAATACTCATGTGAGAACATCAAACAAATTTTTAGGAACAAAATAATCCACAAAAATGTTAAGTAACCATACATAAATGTCATATATAAATCAAGATTAACTTTTCTTCTTTCAAAAAAGTATCTATGTGCATATATGTTTCTATAAAGAAACATATATGCACACACACACACGCACACACATATATATATATATATATATATATATATATATATATATATATGTATATATATAAATATATGTATATGTATATATATACATATATATATATATATATATATATATATATATATATATATATATATATATATATATATATATATATATATATATATGTATATATATATATATATATATATATATATATATATATATATATATATATATAATATATATATAAATATATATATATATATATATATATAATATATATATATATATATATATATATATATATATAAACATCCTTCCATCCACCCAATTTACTTTACACATACTTATTTTTGTTTGTATATATTTGTGTGTGTTATTTTTTATGTATTTACTTTACACATACTTATTTTTGTTTGTATATATTTGTGTGTTATTTCTCAGTTTGTAGAAGCTGTCTCTTGAAGTACTTGGAGTCATCTTATAACTGTCCAAAATGTACAACAGAAATTCATAAAACAAAGCCACTTGAATATACAAGGTTTGAATATAAGTTTTATTTTATGCTCCTTTGACCAGATATCTAAAAATTTTTAGTCACAAGAACAAACTTATGCAACAAAAGTTTTGTGGTTTTTAATCTATTTGACTATTTTTGACATTTTTTAAAGATTTCTATATTTTTGTAGAAATCTTTAAAAAATATCAAAAAATTTCATTGTTTTTATTAAAATTATTTTATTATTATTATTTTAATAAATTAAAAAAATATGAAAGAAAGAAAACTTATTTTAAATAAATAACCAGAAAAAATTATTTTCAGTTTATTTCTTTGCAAAGCATCAAAAAAAAAATTTAAATGCTCTGTCTTAAAGTTCTTTTTTTATGTGTTTCAGAGCTGATATAGAGAAAATTTTCAAGAGTTGTTTTAAGTTAGTTTTCAGAAGTTTCAATCTAGGAAAAAGACATTTACGCAACCAGCACTAAGTAGTTGTTCCACTATTTTGCTGATGTGTTATTGCTGTACCTCTTCTATAAAGTTTATGATTGACTTACATCCATACTTTTCTACCATTGTAACATCCATAAGAATATCAGTTTTATGAAAAGATTTTCCATATTTGAACACATCTTTTTTATCTGTAAAATTATACACCACAAAAACATGGATCTTATTATTATACTGTACAAATTAATCTTCTCATCTGGGTTATTTTTATAATTCAGGTAACTTCCATGGATCAAAAAGTAATAAACTTTGATTACAACTTTTAAAAGCAGATACTACTTTTTATATGTAGTTTTTTTGTAGACTTCCCATATAAAGAAACTTCATTTGCAAATGTTTCTTTCAGGGGGAGGTGTAGCAGTTTGTTCTAAACCTGTTGATTATATTTTGTCATATTGTGTCGATGTAATTCAATCATGTTTCAAAAAAAACAAGAGCTACAGAGAATGTATTGAATTGAAAATTATAAAAGCAAATAATCATAAAGAAATTAAAATTCTAATTATGAGATGCAGCAATAACACACAAAGTTGTGGAGCAATTGCATTCAATAATGTAGTTAAAGAAATGTACCTAAACTGTTTAAAGTTATCGCCTTTTTTCTAGATTGAAATTTCTTAAGTTTTGCTTGCACAAGTAACTTGAAGCAACACTTAAAGTTATTTTCTGTATTGCTTCCAAAATGCCTCAAAGAAGGATTTTTAAATTGTGCCTTCAAGTATTTTGTGGTTGCTTTAAAAAGAAATAACTCAAAAATAAAAATTTCTTTATAAATAATTTTTTTTGGAATCAAATTTACTTATTTCATTCAAACTGAGCACCTTACATGTTCTTTTCTGGGCTTTCCATCTTGTTACTCTCAAACAGACTGGAGCTTTATCACTGTCTTCGTTGATATTTACAATTTCTTGGAAAAAATTGAGAGCTAGCAGCTTCTAATAAAAGTTTTGAAATAACCAAAAATTTTGCAACAGCACCATTTATTGCAGAAAAGTTTAAAAATTGCTTCAAATTTCAATACTTTGAAAGATTTTAATCAGCACTTTCATGATGTTTATTGCACTCAGTGTAGTTCCAACCAATGTACTAATGGGTAAAATGCTAATAGTTTATTAGTATTTTACCCATTAGTATATTTTATTATAAAATGCTCATTGATTTTTTGATATTGTTCAAACAATCTATAAATGGGCAGCTGTTTAGTGCAATATCTTAAGTTTTGTTATTGAAATAGATAAAATAACCACTGTGTAATGATGTCAACATGGAACTAAAAGGGATCTTTTAGACTCTTGTTCATTAATTGAACATAATTTTGAATAAATTAGAGGAATAAATAGTTAGCAATTAATAATTTTTGGCACAATAAGCAAATGAGTTTGGATTTTCTCACCGTCACTTTCCATGATTAAAATGTTGATGCAATAAAAATCAATCTCATACCCAGCATGCTCAAGTTAATTTAAAAATGTAAAAAAATTGATAAACAGAAAGTTTTTCAGTTCATATTGTGTAATTCAGTTGATAAGAAAAAAAAAAAAAAAAAGAAAAATAAGTAAGTATAATTTTAGGATAATTTTAAAAACAGTATAAAATAATAATAAAATATAAACAAAAAGATTTTTAATTTATATACATTTTTTTTAAATCTTAATTTCTATAACTTTGTTGTAAATGCGATCTGCTTTTTTTTATTTGATTTTGTGAAAATCAGAATTATTTGAAATGCAAAAAGAATTTTTGAACTGAAAATTTTAACTTTCTATATACTTCTATATAAATCTATATAAATCTTATAAGTTATATATTGACATTGTTTATGCAATAAAAATTTTGTTTATAAAAACAAGATATTTAAAATTTTTAAAAAGTAATAACAATAAATAATGTTTGAATAGGTCAGATCCGGTATTACAAGAAATAGTGTATAAACTGGTTCCTGAATTATATTTTGGTAAGTTTACTTTCATTAAATTTTAAATATCAAAATATTCATTATCAATACATTTTTTATTTTAATTTTTAACATTGATCTCAATTAAAATTTTAAGTTTTTAATATCTGAATTTTCTAGAAATTCCTTTTTCACATTTTATTTGTCACCTGGTTACTTTTGCACTTACATAATTAAATATATGTAAATTCTGTACCCCAGTGGTCAACTATCGTATCTGAAAAATTGCTGATTTCAGGTTTTTATCTTAACTGTCACAGGGAGACCGTCTTGTTTTAGTGGTAAAATATCGTAAGCGTTGGCTTTACAGAAAGTTAGAAACCTGGAGGTAAAATGTCGTAACTAAAAATACTGTTTAGAGGTAAAACATCATATCTAACAATACAACAGTTTACCTCTTTGACGCTTTGGTTGCAAAATGTTGTATGTGGCAGTTATGATAATTTACCCCTCGCATTGGCAGCCATGTAAAGGCAGTTGATATCAGCTGACTTGTTGGTAGGCTCTAAGTGCTACAGGTTACGGTTTATTAGTCACGTGGAATTAGTTATTTTCCAATATATATTAATATTATTATTAGGAAACTGAACAGCTATTAATCAGTAGTTATCTTTTTCCACTGGATTTGGAAGATGAGTGAAAGTAGCAGGAAACTCTTGGCCTTAACTCTTTCAATATCAAAGGTAAGTTGATTTTATGTAGTTTTCTTATTTTACAGTACTTATATCTTTGAAACTTTGGTTGTGAAATGTTCTAGGGGAATGAGATGGGTGCATAGCTTTTTTTTACAGTACTTATATCTTTGAAACTTTGGTTGTGAAATGTTCTAGGTGAATGAGATCGGTGCATAGCTTTTTTATTCACAAACCCATACCGTTTGTAAGGGTCTTATTTTAAATTTTGATGAGTTGGTGGTTGTCACATTTTTGTTTTAGAGTGCAGAAACTGATTCCCAAGAGAACGCAATTTCAATACTTAGTTCTTGTGTTGAGACTGTAGATAAAATCTTGCTTGATGGTGGGGATAATTCAGAAAGCAAGACATCAATTTAAAAGCTGCAAATCTGAACCAAGAAATAGTGAATGAAGTAAGTGAATTTGTCAGTGTTTTGTTCTAATCATTTTTCTTGGATTCCGTTATTGATTATAATGTTATTTCTCTTTCATAGGAAGTATGCTCAGAATTCTGTGGCTTTGATGATGTCCTTCAAGGAGCTGATATTGAACCTGCTAACAGCTTTGGTTTAGTTGACTTTGATAATGAGCCAATTTATAGGCCTAATAATAGAGTAAATACTGACAACAATGAAACAGGCAGTAGTAAGACCCCTGAAGTTCCTATTAGTGCCAAGAAATGCAGGCGGAACACAGATGAATGGATATGCAACAAAAAGAAGCGTTGTAGGGAGTCTGGAAGAGAGTATGTTGGAAAAAATGGGAAGCAGGTTATAGCCAAAAAAATTAAACCACCATGCCCAACATCATGCAAAAGAAAATGCTCTACAAATATTGCATAAGATGTCAGGCAGGATATTTTTAAGAATTTCTGGCGAGAAGGTAACAACAATGACTTTAAATGGAAATTTGTTACTTTCTGTGTCTTAAGAAACATAGTTGGAAGGATAACAAAAGCTGCTGGTATTGACAAGCCTAGAAGAAATTTAACACTGAGCTATTTTTTTGAAGTAAATGGAGAAAAAATCAAGGTGTGTAAAATTTTTCTCTTCATACTTTGTCCATTTCTGAAATGTATGTGAAAACAGTACTGGATAAAAAAAGGGATGGAGGTTTAGTGCTTCCTGATCAAAGTGGAAAAAAGACACCACCAAATAAAACAAGGGATAAAGTTCTACAAAATGTAAGGAACCATATCAATTCATTCCCATCTGTGGAAAGCGATTACAGTAGAGAAAAAACAAAGAAAAAATATTTGGGTAATTATTTGAATATTTCAAAGATGTATAATCTCTATGTTGAAGACTTGAAGGAAAAAAACACCAGTGACACAGATATAGCTAAACAGTGGCTTTATTCAGAAATATTTAATAAAAAATTCAACTAGTCTTTCAACCTGCCATACAATGACACTTGTGATACATGTGATGAACATATAAGATTAAAAATCCTGAAAATTTAAATTCTATACAACTAAAAAACCTATATGAGGATCATCTTGCTGAGGCGAAGAAAAGGTATGACCTAAAAAGAGGAGATAAACTTGGGTCTCGGGAAGAAGTTTCTAAACATAAAACTATTACAGTTGACCTCCAGAAATGTCTCCCGACTCCCCTCTTAACAAACTCTCAATCGTTTTATTTGAGGAAGCTGTGGACCCTAAATTTGACTCTCCACGACATGACCACTGGCAAGTCACATTGTGCCACGCGAGATGAGACTTTAGAGGCAAGAGGTGCATGTGAAATTGCCTCGTGTCTGTTGAAATGGGCCCAGCATAACTTATGCGACACAGATGTTGAAGAGCTCGCAATATGGAGTGACAATTGTGCAGGACAAAACCGCAATTTTGTACTAATTGTGAGTTATTTGTGGATTTTTAGGGTGATCCCAAATTTAAAGACAGCTAACCACAAATTTCTACTTAGAGGCCACACGCACATGGAAGTTGATGGAGTTCATTCAATTATAGAAAGGGCAAAAAAGAAGTTGGATAACTCCATCATAATGTTGTTCTGGGATTGGCAACAATTCGTTCAACAATGCCGTTTTAAAGAACTTTTGAATGTACACGACATGACTTTTGAAGATTTTAAAAATTTTAAAGTTTTATTTAAAGGTATCAGTGCTCCTTTAATAAATAGAAAAATAAATACAGACAGTGAACCCTTCAAAATAAGTGAGGTAGTTCACTTAAAATTAAAATCATGTCACAAAAGTTGTTTTACAAAACCTCTTTTAATGATAGAGAATTTAAAATTGTATGACTTGATAGGTCTGAGAGAAGATCCAATCACTAGCCTCAAGCACTTGAACCTATTTGGGTCACTCCAAAACCCATCAACCCATCAAAAAATTCAAAGATTTACAAACCTACTTTAAATGGGTTCCCCCACGATTTCATGATTTTTACCAGAATACTCCTCACACAGAAAAAATACATGATTTTCCTCGATGAGTAGGGGTTAACCCTGAGATGATGAGTAAGGGGTCAACCTCCTGTTTGTAGCAGTCCAGTTTTAATGTATATCTGTGTTTAACTTTTATAATTAGCCATTTTCACTGTAAATACATTAAATAAAAACTTTGTTAAAGATGTAGAGTTCCAGAAAATGAATGAGGAGTAAACCTCAACTTTTGCAACAGTTTAAAGATTTTATTGATTATTTCATATTACTTTTAATAATTTTATTTTGGAAATTAATTAAATGAGTTAAAAGTTTGCTTGAAATTAGTGATCCCAGTAGCTTCCATCCATTTAAATCTATAATTTGTATAATATAAAACTTAAACTGAATATCTTGACTGATCATAATCCAAAAGTTGCCCAAAGGTAAACTGTCGCAACTGCAACTGTTATTAGGTTTTAATTGTTAATAGTTATTAACTAATAATAATTTCAAGAAATAATCTGGTAAAGATATTCAGACCCACTGAAATGTATGAAGAACTTTAAATATCAATTTTAAAAATAAAAAAAGCTGTTTCTTAACAGAAAAAGAAGTGTAGTAACTTCATTTGGCTCTCCTGTAAAATTTGTCAAATGTGAGTTACGATAGTTGACCTCTGAGGTACAGAATTATTACATAATTGCAAGTGTGTAAATTATTACATAATTACACATATATAAATTATTACATAATTGTATGTGTGTGTAAATTATTACATAGTTACATGTATGTAAATTATTACACAGTTAATTACTTGTGTGTTTACTTAACTAAATATATTGTACTAATACTCAAAAAATATTTTCGACTCAAAGGAACAAAGCTAAAGTATTTCAATAAGATCACTGTTGGTTCTTAGTAGAATTAATTCTGCAAATAAGCTTCGTTACATTTTAACCTGATTACTAACAATACAAAGTTTAAATATTCACAAACTTATGGATTATATCATATGCATATGCATTTAATGCATTTACAGCTTTTTAAACTACTTTACAGCTTTTTTTTTTCATGTATATAACCTGTTTGATGAACATATGCATAAATCTAAACATGTTTAAAATTAAATCAATTAAATATAAATAATGTATTAACATAAGGGTTTCAATCTTTATATATTTTTATACATTTTATTATTCCTGAAAATAAGTGGTCAAGATATTAGAAATTTGAATATTAAGTAAAAAATTAGAAGATAAAAGCCTTGTCACAAGAAGACTTGGTATTAAATTTTAGTTGCAAGGTTACAAAATTCAAACAAGCAATCGATTATTGTTCACTACTAACTTTTCATGGAAACCATATATACAATCGATTGCTAAAATTAGCATCTGCTAAGGTTGCTTCTCTTTATCTTGCTTGCCATCTTCTTACTCCTGATTCCACTGTATCTTTCCCTGCATGCTCTAAAAACTTTTATTCATCAAGCTTTTTCACTTCAACCCTCTGGAACTCTCTCCCATCTTCATGTTTTCCTGACTCTGCATGAGTACAACTTTTCAAGTCTTCTGTCAACCATTTCTTTGCTCTCTAACTATGTTCTAATATTCTTTTTTTTTCTTTCTAGTAACTCCCAACTTAATAGTGGTTGCTTGCAGCCTTGTTGGGAGTGAATCAGAATTAAAATAGACCAATAAAAACAATTACATGCCCTCAAATGTTTAATCAAATTCTAGTTTATTTTGCTAATAAGTGCATGCCTAGTCCTCATAACAGAACCTCAAGAAATGTAACGTATCAGCTCTATTTAAACCTGCTAGAAAGATTACCTTAAAATGTGCGCACTTCTGACTTTCAAATTTGATTTAATTTAATTTACTTACATTAATTTATGTTTTTGTACATTTCTGGTGTTTGAATTAATTTTTGAAATTGACTCAAGTGTGAAATAAACTAGTCAGGAATCAAAGAATTTACTAAAGGTTTCTGAGATGTTCAGTTGAGTCAATGTGTTGGTTTTTGAAATAGTTGTTGTCTAATGATGTAAAATAATTTTATTTATAATTTGAATGCTTGTTCAAAGAAATATAGTTAAATGAAAATTATTTCTAACTATATGAAATTATATGCACAACTGCAACAACTGCAACTTTTGGAAAAATCTAGAAAATTTTCTATTCTAGGATTTCAGGTTAGAAAATCAAATATTTGGATTTTGTTAAATATCCAAGATTGCTATCCTTCAAAATTACAACAAAATTTATAATCTAATTCAATATATTGCTGTAAAATATTTTGCACATAAAATCTCACAAAAAACTACTTTCGAAAATATGCTCACAGAAAGGACTACTTTGCAATCAAATACAAAGTGTATTTTAAAGCGAAACAGTCCTTTCTGTGTGCATATTTTAAAAATAGTTTTCCGTGAGCATGCAAAACCCTTGTCCTTCCTGATTCTACACTCAATGGTTTTAAAAAATTTAAACCAATGAGTGTGTAATGTATAAATTTATATACCATATAATTTTATATATTAAACTTTCTGACTCTCATTGGTTTTAAAAAATTAAAACCAATGAGAGCCAGAAAGTTAATATATAAAATTATATGACATGGCGTGCGAATTAATGCTTCTGCTGACCACGTAAATGATTTTTTTTGACTACTGACTACTTGTTGACTACTTGACCACGACTGTTTAGTTGTTTTGATGATCTAAACATTTCAGAAGTGCGCTGAAAAAAACCCTGCTAAACTATGAAAAAAATTAAGAAAAAAAAAACTGATGAAAAAAAACAACCTACTTATGAAAAAGAAAATACATAAGCTTCAAAATAAAACTTAAAAAACTTGAAAAGAAAATTACTTTTTGTTACGTTTTTAATTGCGTTGTAAATAAATTTCTTTAATACTTACCTTTTGAAACATCTTATTTAAGTTACAAAAAACATTTTTGCTAATTACTTCTAATGATTATTTAACAAATGCACAAATTTTATTTAAATTATTGAAAAGAAAAAAAGTATAATATTTTTAAATTGTATAAACCTTTTTTCCAAAAAGTAGCAAAAAGTTGTTTAAAAAATAAGTATTTTTAAAATAGTATTTAAAATAGAAAAAATAAATAAAGCAATCTGAGTAATTGGAAGATTTAATTTAGCTTATTCATAATTTAAAGTAATTTGAAAAAATAATCTTTTAAAAGATTTTTAAAAAGACAGAAAAATAGTTTCAAACCTTTAAATTTATCATAAAAAATACGTCTACATAAAAAAAATTTAAATATACCCTTTTTTGTTAATTTGCACAAAATTTATTTTAAACAATCATTATAACTAATTTTTTATTTCATTTAAAGTCTTTGTATACAGTAAAATCTTTAGAAAAGATAAATGGTTTAAAGTTATTTGTAATGTAACGATTTTTTTATAGCATTCAAATTCTTAAAATATCAAAACAGCTGTGGTCAAATTGTAAAGAAAAAAAAGTTATAAATGTGGTCAGTCACAGCGTGCAATCGCATGCCTTTCCTGTCCAAGCCTGCTATGTAAAATTACAATAGTTATTTTATTCTCCATATAAATTTTATGATTTTAGAAGAAGAAAAAAGAAGAGAGAAATGGCAGAAAATTGACAAAAATATTGGTAATGTTTCTTAAAATTAGATTTTTATATTTTAGTTTTATATTTTTATGTGCCCAAAAGTAGTAAAAAGTTTATTTTGTTACGATTTGTTTAGTTGAATTAACTAGCATGGTAGCTATTGTAAAAACAAACAAAGGCTTGTAACTAATGTGAATTAATTAACATTACATTGCTAATAAGAAAATCAGCATTAAAATTATTGCTAAACAATGTAATAATGATAATTTTCAAATAAAATTTAAATGACTATAATTATGTAAATAAATCAATGGATAATTTTTACCGTGCTATGGTTAATTATTGAAACAACATATTTTGTTGAAAAATAATTTCATAATGTTAAGTAACTGAACAATAGATAACCAGGCATTATAAATTCTTTATTGTAATAAAAGTGGTAGACTACCAAAAAAAAATTAGAAAAAATCAATTTTTCAAAAATTGCATTATTTTAAACAGTAATTATTGTAGAATCTAAAAATATCTTCATATGTGCCAAATTTTTAAGACCTTAAATACATATTTATTTTAGCAGGGTAGTTTTGTTTTCCCTAGCAACACTCATAGCAACAGCTAATTGAGGTTAGAAAACATGGATTGTTTACAACTTTTTACAAATTCTTAACACTCAAACCAGAAGCTGTTTCTTTGTTATTAGTTTTTCTATGTTGTAAATGACATAGTCTGAATGAACAAAGGTGTTGATTAGGTTTATACTAACATAAATGTAAAGTAATTGCTAACAAAATGGGTTCTGCAGATAGAAGAAATAAATCTAGATGCAAAAAACGTAAATGTTACAGATTACTTAAAAATAGTATTGAATTGTCTTCTTCAATTTCAAATAATATTTCACTTCCAACAAATACATTGTCGAAAAAACCATCAGCTTCAGCTAAAAAGTTAAATCTGCCCACTACTGATGCTTCAAATATTCTTGAAGATAAAAATATGCAAAATCCAGAATATTACATTTTATTCAATTCTGATGTTTTAAGCTCAATTTTAAATCTTGTTGGTTCATGTCCAAAGTGCCAACCATTATTAAAGTTAAATAACAATTTTTCGAGGAGGAAAGGTTTTTCACATCAACTTGTTTTGTCTTGTACTGAAAAAAAATGTCAATGGGAGAATGAGTTTTTTACATCGGAACAAATCAAAAATCATAACAAAGAAAAAAAAAAAGGCATGAAATCATTTGATATTATTATCAGAATGTGTATAGCCTTTAGAGAAATCAGTAAAGGACATGCTGCTATGGAAACATTTTGCAACATAATAAACAGTCCACCACCAATACAAAAAAAAGCATACAATAATATTGTCTATAAAATGTATTTGTCTTACACTAAAGTTGCCCAAGATTCAATGAAAAGAGCAGCTGAACAAGCACAACGTACAAGTAAGTCTACTATTGATGACCCTGATATTAAAAATGTTACAGTAAGCGTTGATGGAATATGGCAGCGATGTGGTTTTTCTTCCCTCGATAGTGTTGTTACAGCTATAAGTAGTGGTAAATGTGTTGTCACTCAAACCCTCATAAAGGTTTGTAAAGGTTGCCAGTATTGGAAGAGAAATGAAAATTTACCAGGATATACTGACTGGGTAGAGTCTCATATTTGCCTAATTAATCACAAAGGTATTGCAGGTGCGAGGGAAGCTTCTGGAGCTCTTCAAATATTTAGACAATCAACAGTTTTTAACAAACTGGGCTATACAAAATACTGAGGTGATGGTGACAGTAAGTTTTACCGGGAAATTGTAAGTAAGAATGTTTATCCAGGGTATAAAATTGAAAAAATTGAATGTATCAGCCTTGTACAAAAAAGAGTTGGATTGCGTTTACGTACTCTTAAAGCATCGTACAAAGGAAAAATTTGAAAAGATGGCAAAAGACTTACTGGAAAAGGAAGGATGACAGATAAAGTTATTAATACATTACAAAATTATTATGGTATGAGCATACAACGAAACAAAGGAAACTTGTATGGCATGAAGAAAGCAATAGCTGGGTTAATTCATCACTGTTCTCAAAGCAACAGCGATGTAGAGCGCCACAAATATTGTCCTTTTATCAGCAGTTCATGGTGTAAATATCAAAAGGACAAAATTAACAAAACTTTTACTTACAAAATTAATAAAACAGCATAAACTTTCCTGAAGCTGTCTGTGATATAATCAAACCTATTTTTTCATACAAAGATCTTGGTGTTATTAGAAAGATGTCTTGATGGTGAAACGCAGAACGCAAATGAATCACTCAATAATGTAATTTGGACAAAATGTTCCAAAGGCATTTATGTGGGAAGGTCAACACTTAAAATTAGTGTTGCATCTGCTGTCATTTTTTTAAATTTTATTTGCATTCACTTCCAGCAAGGCTGCAAGCAACCATTATTAAGTTGGGAGTTACTAGGAAGAAAAAGAACAGAGTTATAGAGCAAGGAAACGGTTGACAGAAGACTTGAAAAGTTGAAGGTTGTATGAGTTAGGAAAACATGAAGATGGGAGAGAGTTCCAAAGGATTGAAGTGCGGGGAAAAAAACTAGATGAATAAAAGTTTTTAGAGCATGCAGGGACAGATACAGTAAACGAATGAGACTTAGCTAAATGACGAGTAAAACGAGAATGAATTTTAGTTGATGGAACTAGAGATGATAACTCCTTTGAGCAGTGACCATGATAGTATTTGTAGAAAAGAGAAAGAGATGCAACTTTATGATGATGGGAAAGAGGTTCAAGCTTAGCAGATAGTCCAGGTCCAACAACATTTACAATGCGTTTTTGGACCTTGTCAAGAAGAGAAAGTGAATCGTTAGAAAAACCAGCCCAAATATGACAACAGTATTCCATACAGGGACGAATAAGAGATTTGTAGAGGTAGAGAATGGAATCAGAAGTAAGGAAATGGCGAGCACGATAAAGAGAAGCAACCTTAGCAGAAGCTAATTTAGCAATCAATTGTATATATGGTTTCCATGAAAGGTCAGTAGTAAGCGATAATCCAAGAAGACGTAAAGAGGAGGACTCAGTAAGAGGATTGCCATTCATTAATATAGGAATGTTGATCATATTATGATAGTTGTTTGCAGTAAGCAACTGGGTTTTTTTAGAGTTGAAATTCACAAGCCACTGTGAACCCCAATCTATTACTGAAGTGAGATCGGATTCAAGATCAGCTGCTTGTTCTAGGCGATCGAAAAGAGAAGACTTTTTGTCAAGACAGGAGTATAAAGTTGAGTCATCAGCAAAAAGAGCTACTTTAGATGAAAGTTTGTCAGGAAGATCGTTTATGTAGATAAGAAACAAAACAGGGCCCAGGATGGAACCTTGGGGAACCCCAGAAGTTACTGGAAATAAAGAAGAGTGTTGGCCTTCAAGGATGACTTTAATAAACCGGTTAGAAAGAAATGATTTGATAATTTCAAAAACTTTCCCAGAAACACTATATGAAGCAAGCTTATGGAGAAGACCAGCATGCCAAACTTTGTTGAAAGCTTTAGATATGTCGAGAGCAATAGCCCTAGTCTCACCGCCTCCATCTAATGCCCGATAAAATCTTTCAGTTACAGCAGTTAGCAAGTCAGCCGTAGAGCAAGAGGATCGAAAACCGTATTTATTGTCTGACAGTAGTTTATTTGAGTCAAGATGAGATGTGAGGAATTTGTTGATCAAAGACTCAAAGACCTTGCTAATAACAGAAAGAAGACTGATTGGACGATAATTGGAGAGGTCAGAATTTTCTCCAGAGTTTTTGAATATTGGAACCACAGATGCCATTTTCCAACAAGCAGGAAAACAAGACTCAGTCAAACACTTGTTAAATAGTTTAGAGAGAATTGAAGAAAGTTCTGGAGAACAATTCTGCAAGACTGTGACAGAATTGTTGTCTGGACGAGTTTAATTGAGATATGACTTTTGGGTCAATCGTTTGACTGGAATGTAAGGAAGAGAATGTCCATAAGATTCAAGAGTGGAATTAGAAGAAAAGTTCTTTGCAAATAGTTCTGCCTTATCCTTGGGAGAGGTAATAAGATCAGTCCCATGAATGAGAGATGGAATGTTAGGTCTACCCTTGTTAATAATGCTGTTGAAGATTTTCCAAAAATCTTTAGAGCCTAACTTCTGCGATAAGATCCGAGATTTAGTGAACTGAGAATAATGGAGTTTAGCATCAGAAAGCACCTTTTTACATCGATTTCTTGCAATAATAAATAGCCGTTTGTTCTCAAGAGAGTTGTTCTTTTGAAAAAGATGAAAAAAATGATTACGATTGGATATAGCAGCCGCACAAGAAGGAGAAAACCATGGAGTAGAATGAGGCTTGACTTAAAACCGACGAGAAGGAATAAAAGCTTCCATTCCAGCCTGAATCCAGGAGGTTACGTAGGAGGCACATTTGTCAGCTGAGAGAGAAAAAACATCAACCCAAGGACCATCACGAAGAAAATCACGAATGGAATCCCAGTCAGCTTTAGGGTAGTAGTAGGTGGTGCGATGATAAGGTGAGCCCAAAAAAGAAGTACAAGAAGAAAGATTTATAGAGATCATTGCATGGTCAGAACCACCTAAGGGAGAAAAGGGAGAAACTGAACATAAGCTAGGGTCAGAGACAAGGCATAAGTCAAGGAGTGAAGGTAAATGATTAGGGTTGTCAGGAAAATGAGTCACAAAGTTAACTATCTGAGTAAGAGATTGAGAAACGCAGAAGTTAAAGGCTTTAGTGCCAGCAGGATCAGTGGTGTTAGAGCCAAGCCATTCAGTGTGATGGGCATTAAAATCACCAACAACAACAATATTGGCAGAGGGGTAAAGAGAGAGGGCATGGTCAATTTGATCAGAGATAACATCTAAAAGAGTGCAATCATGGGAAGAAGGAGAACGATAAAGAACAAAGAGAAAGGTGATAGAGTGAAGAGGTGCTAGGCGAAAGCACATAAAAGAATGGCCAAAGGATTCGAACCTGATTTCACCACAAATAGGGGAATTAATGCATATGTATAACCCTAAACCTAGCATGTGACTATTTGAGTCTTTACGAATCAAAGGATATTACCCATCAACACTGACATCTGAAGAAGGAATTGCAGAATTTAAATTTGTTTCACTGAGTGCAAGCAAGTCTGGTGAATTTTGCAAGACTCAACTGATGGAAAGTTGCTTCGTAGACCCTGAATATTTGTAAAAGATATATTAAAATATTTAGGTGGTGGGGATGGTTTTTTAGGTTTTAAATTTTTGGTTACTTTGGTCATGATTTGGGTTTAATGAGAACTTGACTCATTCATAGATAGAGCACAGCCTCCTAATCAATGAGCTATGCAGTTGTCTCAGTCCTGTTAATTAACCCTAAGCCGTGACATAGGGCTCCTTATGTGGCCTTGACAATGCACACCAAAAGCATTAACAGGGACACCATCCATGCGCAACATGGCACTGTTAATACTCTGATATTTTGCGGCTGTTGATGGAATCAGCCTCTCTGCGAGCTACCACAGAGTTTGGGAAACCTTACTACCAGCCGGCCTCAGAACCATTAAACTGAGTTTTAGAGCTGTACCCTCATATGGAGATAACAGGCAAAAAATTAGCTTCTACTAAAACCGTGTATGAAAAAGACAAATAATCTAAATTAAAAAAATTTTCAAAATAACGAACAAGAGGATAACCACCAAAACCATAATATCAATTGCTCAACTTCCTCTAGCTCAACAAATATAGATAGTAATTATAATCAAACATCAGACATTATAACTTCAAAAATCTGGTCAAGCCCAAGCCAAAAAAAATACAACCTAAAGTCATCAACTTTTTAACTAAACACCTAAGAAAATCTCAAATATCACTTCTTACAAAAGGTCCAAAGTTTTGCCCTACAACTAAAGAAAATATTTTTCAAATTGATTCTGATATAAAACAATTCACAAGGAAACTAATACTTTAAGAAAAATTTCATAGAATGGAGAATACAGACATAAGCATAATTAAAAAAAAGTCAAATTATTATAATAAAACAACTCTACTATATCTTGATGAAATCATTTCAAAAATTGAACAAATTAAACCTATCAAAATGCAGTCAGTTGACAACATTACTCAACAAGAAAGGATAGCATTAAAAGGTCTAAAAGAAATGAAAAATATAGTTATTAAAAAAGGGAAACAAGGGAAACACTTTTATTGTAGTGGATTTAACTTATTATAATGAAAAATTAGTTCATCAAGACTACCTGCTCTCCGCAAGTACTTACGAAAGGACAAAACCTGAATCAGATAAAATAGTTTTTAGAGATCTAATAAAAATGATAGGAAAATATAATTTTCTAACAAAAAATAAAATAAATAACATCACAAATTTTAAATGGAAATCTAGTAGTTTCTATATAACTCAGAAAATTCATAAATGTCAAGAAATTATAGACAGAGTTAACACATCTAACTCACATTAATCAAAATGAAACCACCAAAAGATCTCAAAGGTAGACCAATTATTGCTGGAATTAACTCACCAACATCACGTTTAAGCCAGTTCTTACATATAATTTTGTCTCCAATATATATATATATATATATATATATATATATATATATATATATATATATATATATATATATATATATATATATATATATATATATATATATGTATATATATATATATGTATATATATATATATATATATATATATATGTATATATATATATATATATATATATATATATATATATATATATATATATATATATATATATATGTATATATATATATATGTATATATATATATATGTATATATATATATATATATATATATATATATATATATATATATATATGTATATATATATATATATATATATATATATATATATATATATATATATATATATATATATATATATATGTATATATATATATATATATATATATATATATATATGTATATATATATATATATATATATATATATATATATATATATATATATATATATATATATATATATATATATATATATATATATATATATATATATATATATATATATATATATATATATATATATATATATATATATATATATATATTAGGCCTCAACAAGAAATGAGAGCTTTAGCTCTTGCCCACACTCCCCTAATGTGGTTTACAGGAGCAATTTATGGGTCTCGTATCTCGTAAAAGTATAATTTTTTCATAAATATAAACCACTTTTTTTTTTTAAATATTGATTAGAAAAATTAAAAAAACTTGTGCAAACTACATACAATAAAAAAGACAAAGTTTAAGTTTCAAGTTAAAGTTTCAAGTTTCAAATTGACTTTTTTTTTTTTAATTAATAAAAAAAAAATTTCTTTTCTTTTCAAACACAGATATGCAGTACAGAGAGATTTGTTTTTTCTAAAATCTTTTGTGTGTTTTTTTCTTGAATCTTTTTGATTTTCTGCTTTAGTTTTCAGTAATGAAGTTGTTAACTGTTTTTTTTCTGTGCTGAACAATGAAAAAGGTTACTTTTAATCTTTTCTCCTTGTTTTCGCAAATTTTTTTTTTATTCCGCAATTTCACTTTTAAAAAAAAGAATTAAATCTAGGGCCAAAATTGTGCCTTAGTTTTAAAACCAACCAATATTATTATAACATTAATGACAATATGGTCAAGTTCGCAAAAATGTTTATAAAACATAGACCATCCCGGTCATATTTTAAAAATCCAGAAAAATTGTTTGGGTAAAATATCCAGAAAAAAAACAGAATATATTTTCTTTTAGTTTCCTCTTAGTTTTGCTTTCAGCTGAGTTGTTTTGAAATAATTTTATAACTTTTTCTAATTTTTGTATGAGTGATGAGTGAGAAAGGTTAAAAAACAATAATATTACAAAAATATATACCTAAACTTATATGTATGGAAAACGTTTTGGATACCCAGAAAAACTAAAAGTTGAAAAAAATAATTTGGAATTCGGAAATATCTGGAAAAAAATTGCAACTAAGATGAAAAAGTCATAAAAATAAACTAATAATTGCATAATAAACTCAATGTTTTATTAAGGCACAGTTATTACAGAAAAAAAAGAAAAAAAAAGAAAGGGCGCTAATTAAAATGCAAATGTTTTTAATTAGATTGAACAAACTGATTGGTTTCTTAAATAAAAAATCAGTTTCTTAAGAAAATTTTATTATAAAAAAATAAATTGATAATATTCTTTTGACAAGTATAAAATTAAATTTCGTATTTAATAAGCAATATGTTTTTAGAGTAAACAGATAGCTCACCCAAAAACCAAAGACTCCCATAAAAAACCTGTTTAGAGGAGCTGCTCGCATGGCTTGCCATATTCTTTTTAGGAGAACTTTTCTCTGCTCTTGCACTTATTAACTCCCACCAAGGTCTGATATATTATTGTCTATATATTGTCTATTTATACAGTTATATTTATATTAATATCATATAATATAATTATGACAATAATATGTATCATAAAATGATATATATTATTGTCATAATTAAAATTTGTGTAAAATTCAGCAAGTTTCTATATAATTATTTGAACTTTGGTCAATAAATTTGATTTGGTTTATCCTTACAATTTTTTTTTAAATGATGTGCACATATTTAGTTTTTGTTTCAACAAAAATATTGAAACCTCAACTTTTCAATATGCAAAGTAATTTAATTTTTTGTAAAAGGGGTACACTTTATAAAGGTGGTACACTTCATAAAGGGTGTACACTTCAAATCCACCATTTGACTTTGTAGCGCTTTTTTGTAGCATTTAATTATAAAACTCAGAAATTTTGAAAACTATTTTAACATTTTCCTTTTTTCCTCAGTATTCATTTCACTTTTACTCAGTAAGATTCAATGACTCATTGCTCAGGACAGTTTGGTAGATTAGCATTCTTTAACCCATCCTATTTTTCCTATCAAAAGTTTTACTGGTTATTTTGGCATCAATTCACTATTCCAAAAAAGTAATAATTTACTTATTTGGAATAAGAGATCGATGCAAGATCTGACCAAAGAAAAATGGGTCGCTTATGTTTTTTAGTTAACAAATTTTTTTTTTCAAAACAGTCAGTCATAAGTAGCTGGGATGTCAAAATTTGATTTTTTATAAAAAGAGAGCTTTTAATGCCACAACTGCAAATAGTCTGCCATACAAGTAACTTGTGAATTAATTGCGGTAGTGGTGTAGTGGTAGAGCGCTCGTTTCATAAACGAGTGGTTCGGAGTTTGATCCTCACCACGTCCCTGGTAGTACCGCGCTCAACTCGTTTCTCCGCGCAGCGGCCTTGTTCATCAAGGTTCGTGTTTCGGAGTTATAGAGTTGGAGAGGGTTATTGCCACAAATAAGTAGCCTCCTCGTCTGTAGTGGCCTTCTTGGCCTTGAGGAGGTGAATTAAAATAAAAAAAAAAAAAAAATTCTGTGAAAAATCTACTATAACTTAAATTTTAAAAGAAGAAGAAAAATTTAATCTTTGATTTTAATTAAATTAAAAATAACATTAAACTATTTGAATAATTAGAGTTCTTCTTAAAAAAAGGACTTTACAAATTTTCTAGACTCCAAGTTAAAAATTTTAAATCTAAACTCCAAGTTAAAAAAAGTTTTCAAAGCATGAAAATTACTTTAAGCGTGCTTTTAATTTAATTTCTGATTTTAAATATTATTTATATTTATATTAATTATCTCTAGTATAATTTTTGTTGTTTGATTTTCATGTTTTTCAAAACAAAAGTTAAATATTTAAAGAAATTCTAATTTTATAAGTCTTAAAACAATATCAGGCAAATTTTTATTTAGTTATTATTAAACTTAATATACATTAAGGTGGTAGAATACTAAAAAAATATTTTTTGTATTTAACATTATTTAGATTGATTTTTTTACTTCAAATGCAATAAAAGCATTAAAAAAAAAAGTTTTAATTTTTTTTATTTTTTTTAATAATTTTTTGGTAAAAACAGGTGGTTTTAGGTCAAAAATATGCAAAGATCTTCGCAAAGATATCTCAAAAAGTAAAATAAATTTTGTTTTAATTTTTTGCAGTTTTATTATTTATATGTAGATTTATGTCCTGAGATAAAAAAAAATTTTTTTTATCATAAGATTTTTTAACATGTATGAAGGTCAAATTTCTAAAACTCAGTTTTTCAAAAATTTACATTCTTAATTTTTTTACCTCAGGACATTAAGCTCATTAAAATAAGCATTTGTACAAAATGTCAAGTCAATTGGGCAAAAACAACTCCTGCAATCTTTGACAGAAGATGCAAAATTATAAAACAGAGAAAAATGCAAATAAAACTTTAAATATTGAATATATAAAAATTATTGAAATGTAAAAGCAGGTTAAAATCTCCCTTTTTCATATACTGTTCCCTTTTCATCATTATATTTATCATCAAAACCTTTCCTGGTAGCTCTAAGCTTTTTTCTTTGATTTTTAAATTTTTCAGATGATTTTTTGTCCATTAACTTTACATACAGATGATCAGTCTTTTGAAAACCATAATTGGTAAAATGTCCTGGATCAATTCCTAAACTGTGCAGAACATCTATCAAGCCAGTTTCTCCATCATTAAACTGTATGACTGTATTGTGCCAGTTATGACTGTATTAAAATGCCAGTTATGACTGTATTGTGCCAGTTATGACTGTATACAAAATGTCCTGGATCAATTCCTAAACTGTGCAGAATATCTATCAAGCCAGTTTCTCCATCATTAAACTGTATAACTGTATTGTGCCAGTATGACTGTATTGTGCCATCAAGCCAGTTTCTCCATCATTAAACTGTATGACTGTATTTCTCCATTATTAAACTGTATAACTGTATTGTGTCAGGTCAGGTATGATCTTCATGATCATCCTGCTACTGGTAACATGTGACCCAGTGCAACCTGTTCCATGTTCTGCTGCCTTGCGGGATTTGCTTTCTAAGCAAAGGCTGGAAGGAGTGTTCTTCCTGTCATCAGTACTATCTTATATCAGTCATGCCTATAGTAATTTTTTTTTTTTCTTCTATATAGTTGGAGGTGCCTTAGTTACTGTATTAGCTCACCTGTAATCTACTTTATATGTATGTTTGTGTTCTGTCTGAACCTCTGGCGCGGTGTTGACTCACCCATAAGTTGATTTATGTTTGTTTGTGTTCTGTTTATACTCTAATGCAGCGTGAGCTCAGTAACTAACTACTTACTCCAACTACAAAACCTACACTCACCTTAGACTCCTGTATTTTGTTAGATGCAGTGTTTTTCCTAATGCACTTCCAAAATGTCATGCCTGGTTTTCTCAAAGTACTGTTGCGGGAAGTAACTCCTTTTAACTACTCCAGGTCAGGTCAGGATAATCGAGATCAATCTTGCTACTGGTATCACGTAACCCAGTACCACCTGCCACAAGCCCTGCTGCCTTGCAGAGTGTGCTCTTCTTAGGCAAAGGCTAGGAGAAATAAACTCCGACTAAAAATTCCCCTGCCTTGGGGCTTTTGGTTGAGTAAAGGCTAGAGATGGTGTCTCGATAAAATCACTCATCTTGGGCAGATGTTAACTGCATTCAGCTAAACATCCCCTGCCTTGGGGCTTTTGGTAGAGTAAAGGCTAGAGATGGTGTCTCAATGAAAATACTCATCTTGGGCAGATGTTAACTGCATCCAGCTACTGTCTTGTAGAAGGCCTCCTAGGCAAAGACTTTAGGGGTAAGCAGAAAAATTCTGCTAACCAGCCTCGAACCCCTTCTTCATCTATAAGGCTGGCGTAGATGTAACCTGTGTTACATTGTTTCCTGCCTATGATGGTAAATGCTGGATCTCCTTGTCTCTACTCATAGAATTTTGCTTATGCCTCCTTGATAATGGCTATGCAACTCTTCCCATTTTTTGTCAATGCGATCAATATCCTCTTTTTTACATTCCTCGTATTAAAATACTAATTTTTCTTTAAATTCTTTGCTAGTTGCTTGATTGTTAATAAAACTAGTTACTTTATCCTCAAGTTTTTTTAATGAAGAAAAATTTTTTTTCTTATTTTAAGAATCTAAAATATTAAAATTTATAATTAGTGTAATTTTTGTAAAATTAAAAATAGAAAATATTTTGTATTATATTTAGTCACCAAAATAAACAATATTTTCAAAATATTTGAAAATATTTTGAAAATATTGTTTATTTTGTTGACTAACTTTTTTTACTTATTGGTTATAAACATATTTTAAGTTTTATACAGTGGGCAAAATAATTGTCCGTACATTAATGAAAAATAAGGTTTTTTGAAAAAAGCTCTAAAACTTTAAATGATAGAAAAAAATAAATTAAACCAATAGATAGCGCACAAGAAAACAAATAAAAACGATACACCATCTTTAAATTCCTCTCGACAATTTAAATTATAATTAACTTATTTAAAAGTTTTAAAAATTTTAAAACCAAAAAATTGTCCATACATTTGATTTAAAAGGTAAATATTTGTTTATAAATGATTTTTATATTAATATCTTGTACTTTTAGGTTAAATAATACTATAATAAATAAAAATAAACCTTTTCTTAACTATGTGGCTATGATGGAAGGAAAAAGAAAAGAATATAGTATTGACTTACGTAAATGAGTAATTTTTAATAGGGAAAATGGATTATCAATTAGAAATGTTGAAAATACAACCAAGCTCTGTTCAATATATATGGGAAAAGTATTTAAAAACAAAATCAGTGGCAAATAATGGTGTACAAGGCATCAACAACGCCAAGAGTTGACAGGTGCATAGTTGGGAAAATCGAGCAGAATAGAAGAAAAAATGCCGTAGAAGTATCAAAAGAGCTGGAAAATGAATTAAATAATAAATTATCGCCACAAACAATTAGGAACAGACTGCATGAAGCCAATATTTTTGCACGGACGCCTCGGAAAAAACCATTCATCAGAATAGTGAGCAAGAGAAAACGGTTGCAGTGGGCAAAGGAACATGTTCTGAAGGATGATACATTCTGGAATATGATTATTTGGTCAGACGAGAGTAAATTTAATTTATATGGAGCTGATGGTGGTGCAAAAGTTTATAGAAGAGTTGGAGAAGAATATAATGTAAAGTGTTTGAAGGCAACATTTAAATTTGGTGGTGGAAATGTGATGTTTGGTCATCAATTATTCAAGAAATTACGTCTAAACTCGTCTCATCAATGAAAAATCATTGTAGAACAGTCATTAAAGCCGATGGTGGTCCAACAAGATATTAATTTATTTTTAACTAATTTTAATTTCAAAATTAACATAGTGTACGGACAATTTTTTTGTTTAAACTTTTAACTCTTTTTGAATAAACTTATATAACTTCATATATTAATATATTTTTAAATAATACATTTATAATTACTTTAATGTTATAATATTTCTTTAAAAACTCTTAATTACAACTATCTAAATACTTTTAAATATTGTTTTGATCAAATATAGATACTTTTTATTAATGTACGGACAATTATTTTGCCCACTGTATAAATATATATATATATATATATATATACATATATATATATATATATATATATATATATATATATATATATATATATATATATATATATATATATATATATATATATATATATATATATATATATATATATATATATATATATATATATATATATACGGACAATTATTTTGCCCACTGTATAAATATATATATATATATATATATATATATATATATATATATATATATATATATATATATACGGACAATTATTTTGCCCACTGTATAAATATATATATATATATATATATAAAAATCTCTATTCCGTCCTTGTATAGAACACTGTTGCCATATCTGGAGCTTATCTTTGAATGATACCCTTTTTCTCTTTTAGACAAGGTGCAAAAATACATTTTAAACATAGTTGGACCTGCAATGGCAGCCAAACTTCAACCATTGTCACATCATTGTAATGTGACAATGTTGCTTCTCTTTCTATTTTCTATAAATACTATAATGGGCGCTGCTCTAAAGTGTTGTGTCGTTAATAAAACACTGTACTATATTTAAATATATATATTCTTATACATTTTAATATAGCCACATATGTATATATATATAAAAACATTGTTCCTATTTGTCCGCATATGACTAAGGTTCACGGCTTCACATCCCTGAAACGTATCGGCTTTTGCCCCCTTGTCGACCGTGTACTTCTTCAATCCTGGTTAGGCTCTCCTTTAGTAATACATAGTTCGGGCATATCAGATTTATCACTATTGCAAGGATCGATTTTCTCATTATTGGTATAATCATACCGCATACTGTCTTCATTATTCATAAGTATACTAGGCTCATTTAGGCGTTTGTTTATTTAGTCACAGTGTGCTAACGTACCCGAAGAGTTATTCCTTAATATGATCGCAGTGTTTAGATCTGCCTGAGAGATGAATGAAGCAGGTTCAGGTTTGGAATCTGGTCTTTGGCAATACCATAACGGTGTTCCACTTTCGAAACTCATAGTGAGAGGGAATCTCAACTGCCTTCCCATCATCTCGGAAGGACTCCTTGATCTTTCTGCATGAGGTATTGTTCTGTAACTTAAAAGCATTCTGCTTAAATATCCGCATAATAAACCTTTGTCCAGTGAATAAGCTCTTAAACCCATCTTGACTGTCTCTACCATTCTTTCAGCTGCTCCGTTAGATTGAGGGTGGTAAGGTGGAGTCTTATAAGGCACGCAACCGATTTTCTTTAGCCAGGTGGTATCATGAAATTCCGCAGCATTGTCGGATACTAAAACCTCTGGAACTCCATTTCTTGAAAAAACACTTTGTAGTACTGCCTTTACAATGGCCGCTTCACGGTTATTTACCTTAATAACTTCAGGCCATCCAGAAAAAGAATCTACTAAAATGGAAAACAGTCCGATACCCTGTACATGGGCATGATCCATATGTACTCTACACCAAGGTTTATTTTCACTTGGCCATGTAAGTAATATTCTTTCCTTCTTCACTTTTATTTTGGCACATTTTTCACAGTTTTTCACATATTCTTCAACATCTTGACAGTAGCCAGGCCACCAGGCTTCCAATTTTAATCTACATTGCGTTTGTATTATGCCACAATGTATATCATCATGGATCGATTTGATGAAGATCTTTCTCATTGTCTTAGGAGGTACAATAAGATCACCATTACATACAATTCCTTTTTCGATAGTCAGTTTATTCCTAATAGATTTATAGGGTCTTTCTGTTACCGAGCATCTGCTCCAATTATTTTTGCTAATTCTGGTTTTGATATCCATCAATACCCTATCATTTTCTGTTTCTTTTATTATTTGCTCAAAGTTCACGATATCTGACTCGACTAAGTGTATGAATGTTTCTTGGTCCTTCTTTTCATCTTGTGGTAGAAAGGACAACCTCGATAATGCGTCAGCATGAGGAATGTTTTCTCCCTTCTTGTAGCTTATTTCTTAGTCAAATACCATCATTTGTATGGCCCATCTTAAAATTCTAGCGGATGTGACTTTGGGCAATTCTTTGTTACTATCAAATATAAATTCTAATGGCCTGTGATCCGATATTAATTTGAATTTTCTACCCAATAAAAAATGCTTAGCTCTGTGAGCAGACCATACAATAGCTAACGCTTCTCTCTCAATATTAGAATATCTTGTCTCAGCGTCTGATAAAGTTCGTGAGAGATACAATACCGGATGGCCATTCTGTGAAAGTATTCCAGATATAGCTTTCTCACTAGCATCTGTTGTTAACTCTAGATCTTGGTTGATGTCATAAACCTTTACTACAGGTTCTTCACAAAGGTTTCTTTTTAGCAGTTCAAATGCCTGTTGATGCTCTTTCCTCCATTCGAATGTAACTCCTTTCTTTCTTAAATTGTTTATAGGTAAAAAAATTTCAGCATATTTATCAATGTGTTGATCATAAAAGTTTATTAATCCTATAAATGACTTGAGTTCCTTTTTATCATTAGGAGTATTCCGAGTATTTTGCTGACTAAATTATGATCTGGGGTAACTCCCTTTTCTGACAGTTCATATCCTAAAAATGAAAGGCTTTTTGTTTCATTCACTGACTTTCGTTTATTTATGCTCATTCCCGATTCCTTCAATATGCTCAATATTTTATTCAAATTCGATTTGAGTTCTTCAGCATTTTTAGCACCGACACATATATCATCTTGAATAATAATCATATTGGGAATAATATCGCCAACAACAGATTCAATCGCTCTTTGAAATATCGCACTTGCAGTCTTTATTCCGAAAGGTAAACAAGTCCATCTTAATAATCCAATAGGGGTATTAACTGCCGTTATTTCTTGTGCCTCTTTGTCCATCTTAATTTGATGATAAGCTCCCTTGAGATCAATTTTAGCAAAATATTTCATCCCTGCCATTTTATGAAATACGGTCTCAGTGTTTGGGATAGGATATGAGTCTGAGCATATTTTTTGGTTAACACCTATTTTGTAATCCGCACAAATGCGTAAATCCCTGTCTGTTTTTCTAACAACCACAAGCGATGAAGCCCATCTGCTTCCACAGGAGGAACCATTTGAAGCAACCCTTGCTGTATCATTCCATTAAGTTTATCTACCACTAGTGGTCTTATGTGAAAAGGAAGAGGTCGAGATTCAAAATAAGTTGGTTATATGCTGTTTTTTAACAGAATATTTGCTTTGTAATTAATTAAACGCCCCTTAACAATAGGTTCCATACTATTAACTAATTTTGTGGCGTTGATATTTAATACATCCATACCAATTAGACCATGATTTTTTGTACAGTCTTCAACAATAATTCGTACGATATTTATTTTTGATTTAGTTTCCAAAGTTGCCTCAAATTTACCTAGGACTTTTATAACTGTACCATCAAACTGTTTCAGGCGAAGGTACCATTTTTGTAATTTCGGTTTAGACATTAGTTCCCAAAAATTCTTTGGAATAAGTGTGACTTGACTTCCGGTGTCAACTTGCATTTTTATATTGTAGTCATTAATTTTTACACTAATCTCTGAGTTTGTATCATTCATGTTAATGGAATACACACTAGCATCATTTCCGTTCTCTATTTCCTCTACTATTTTTTCATATTTAATGTTTGCTTTGCATACGTTTTTAAAGTGGTTCAGCTTCCCACATTTTTTACAACTTTTCCTAAATGCTGGGCATTTTCTAGGTGGGTGTTGAAGGCCACAATACTTGCATTTAATCGTTCTTTCTTTAATTTTATCAATGTAATTAACTGAAGGAAGGTCTATGCTGTTTTCAATGTTGTTTTGTATACTAAAACAGGATATTTGCTCCAGTTGCCTGATAAAATCAATACATGCTCCTAGTTTAGGCGATTCTCCACTCTGTATCATTTCTAGAACTTTAACTCTCTGATCAGAAGATTGGAGGCCATCAATCAATCTCATTTGAATCAAATCATCTTCCGCGCTTTAGCTGTCTCTTCCCAATTTTTTGATGTTGCAAAAGTGTGAAGCTTCGCGCAGTCTTTGTGCATATGATATGATGTTTTCCTTGTTTTGCTGTTTTAATGCTAAAAATCGAACTCTTTCAGCAATAATTAGTTGTTTTTGAGGCCTCAAATGGGACATAACAACAGTTTTAATATCATCGAACATCATATTTTCTAATTCTTCTGGATATACCATAAGGGAAATCTTTTTAAATCTACCGTTTATCTCATCTTTTAATTTCTTTGAACGTGCGGATGCTGAAAGCATCTAATTCATGCTTCTGCATTGTCTGGATCATCTAAAGTCAAATCGGATCCTACTCACAGCGCCATTGTTGTGTCCTTAATAAAACACTGCACTATATTTAAATATATATATTCTTATAAGTAAGCCATCTTTATTATACATTTTAATATAGCCACGTATGTATATATATATAAAAACATTGTTCCTCTTTGTCCGCATATGACTAAGGTTCACGGCTTCACATAAAGAACTAGCGTTTTTGTGCCATCTACTAAAATTCATTATCGTGTTACTTGTCATTTAATTTATTTTCATTATTTTACTATAACTGTTCCTAAGTACTCCAAAAATTCTTATTCGTCAAGTTTTTTTCCTCAAACATCAGTTTTTTGGAGTTTTTTCCTTCATCTTGTTTCCTGATTTATATTATTTGCAATCTTTAAAGTCGTCGGTTTATCGTTATCTTGCTTTATAAACTTCATCTTTTCTCTTCCAGTAACTCCCAACTCTAGTAGTAGTTGCATGCAGACTTAATGGTAGTCAATATGTTTAAAAAAAAAAACAATTAAAGATCTTGTAAGCATTCTATTTTTAATTAAATTATATGTTTGATAGCTAAATAAAATTTTAATCATAAATTCTTTTTATTTGTCACCAAACTTGAAACCACAGTAAAAATAACTGTGGATTTAAGTTTAGTGACCAAGTATAATTACTGTTTTTTTTTAATGCTTTTTCAATTGAAATAATATGTTTATAGTACTTAATAATATCTTTAATAAATCTTTACAGAGTTTTATAATTTTATAGTTTGTACAATTAATAAGCAATTAAAATTCTATTATAACTTAATTTACAAACAAATATAATTAATTAGTAAGTAATTCTATCTCAAGCAGACATTCTTTTTATAAGGATGTAGTTGCACAGCAAGCTGGCTTTTCATATATAAGTTTGTAGTTTTTTATGAAGCTGATTTTCTATATATATGCATGTAATTTTATATCAAGCTTTTTTAGAAAATTCGGACAAACCTGGTTCATTTGAGTTTACAAAAGATATGTTCAATGAATCTCGCATACTTGTTACCTTGAAATATTTTAGGTAGGTTGTTTTTGTTTATTATAAAATACATGATAAATAAAAGTTACTTTGTAAAATATTTTATAAAGAATGTTATTATACAAGATCATACAAATTTAAAAAGCTTTAAAAAAATAAACAAATTTTAAAGGCTTTAAATTTTACAACAGCCACAAATTATTTTTGTTCAGGTTTAAATTCAAGGAAGATTAAAAAAAACCTAAGTTGTGCTTCACATATTCAACACATCTTAGCAGGGGGATAGTTATAGTATAGATAAGGTGGCCAGTCATTTTTTTTCCATGTCTATCATTACAGATTTTATGGTAGTGTTTAGTGGAAGTACATAGCTAAAAGTTGTTATCTAATTTTTTTTGGAGGTGCTGAATCCAATGATATAGAAAAGATAATTTAATTTATAATATTTTGATGGACATTTTCTAACTTTGAAATAGTCAAGACAAATTTTCTGTTCCATTACCATGACTTGCGTTTTCGCTGACTCTTGGGAGTTATGGATCCAAAATATTATGGATCCAAAATATTCAAATAAAAGAGGAGATATTAGGCCGTCTTAATATAAAATATGGTTGTTGGTCCTTTAATAAGATTGATAAAAAATTTTTGTTATGTTACTATGGTTTACAGTTTCATTTACTCCTGAAGTTGTCCAACCATCACATGTTAAAAGTATTTTTTAGTGAAAGATGACAATTTTATTATAAATAACAATAAAGGTCTTCTAAAAGGTTGTGTTAAAATAAAATAAAAAATTGAAATGATGGTGACATAAAAATATGATCCTAACTATTGACTTTAGACAGCATTCATTTAAACATTACTTCAGAAGACAGCATTTGATCTGTTGTTGAACTATGTAAGCTAGCTGTTGTAAAAAAGTTTAGGCAGCTGCAAAATCGTGCAAACTTTTATTCTTTTCTATGCAGACAATCATTTCAATAGTTTTATGGTTTTAAAGCTTATAACACTTTCTTAAGAGTAGACAAAAATTTCAAAATTTAAATTTTCTGTCTTCTCATAGAAGCTTCAACTTTTTTATTTTATACATTCAACAAGGAAGTGTAGTGTTTCAGAGATTTTAAGTAAATTTTAGAGAAAATGCTTTTAGTTTCACGCAAAATACTGTTGAGAAATGATTTAACTACAGCATAATCATGTTCAATAAATATTATCTACATCTTGTTATATTCTGATCCTTTACATAATGCTAATTTATATCTAATTATGGTAATTTATATCTGCATTGCGGACAAAGCTTTTCACTTGGTACTATGAGTTTGTCTTTGCAATTTGCTATATCCAAGTTGATTTCAAAAACACTGTGAAGTAAAATAAATTTTGTATAAATTATAAATTTAATAAAACATTCAGCTTTTATAAATAAACTTAATAAAATAATTTTTATTAAGTTTATTTATAAAAGCTGAATATTGTCTGGTGTTTAGTTCTGCAATTTCGGTGCTATATTAAGATTTATAGCAAAAATATAGTTTGACTGCAATCAGGTTTCCACAAGAAGGCATGCAAAAACACGTCTTTATTTTTACAATTTGACCACCTTATCTAAAAAAAAAATTGTAAAAAGAAAAAAAATCTTAATGAACAAAAAAATAAAAAAAATAATTAGTTAAAGCAAAAGCACAAAAAAGTAAATATATATATATAACCCAACTAAAAAAAACTTATCAAACTAAAATGTGTAGTCTATTTAATTTACTCAATAAAAAATCATTTTAATCTTTGTTTTTACATTTGTACTTTTTTATTTTTTATTTAATATGTTTCAAAAGATAAACATTTCTCATAAAAAATAAATAATTATATAGATAAAAAAAAAAAAAAAACAGTTTATTAAATCTTATTTTAAAAATTAATTAGAAGTGTTTTGTTACTTCATTGAAAAGCGTTTCGATAATATAAAAGCATTTAAGATTAAACTTATTTAATTGTAACGGCTATCTAAAACTTTTTTTTTTCAACAAATTTTTTTTTATCTTTTTAAATGTATTAGCTTTAATTATTCTTATATTAAAATTCGTTAAAGAGACTTTTGTAGTCGTAGAATGTCATCGTTTATAAAAACAAAACAATTTTTTTGTTTTTTTAATAATGTTTATTATAGAAATGCACACTTAAACAATTTATGTATTATAAATTAAAAAAATATATACAACTCTCAATTATATTATAAAAAAAAAAAAAAACATTATCAGTAAATTGTTACTTTATTTAAAAGCGTTATGCTAATATGAAAACGTTTGTTAAGAAGTTTTGACATAATTAATTTCACTTTTTCAGAATATTTTTCATTTAGCGTGTTTTTGAAATGTTTTTTGAATTAACGCGGTCAAATCTTCATAGCAAAACGTAATTTGCGTGGTCATATAAAGACGTGTTTTCGCACGTTTTCCTGTGAAAGCCTGACTGCAATGAACTCTCATTATTGAAATTAATAATTATTGCAACTTTCAAAATTCAAATTTTAGAAATGAAAGTTGTGACTGTCATAAATACTTTTTTAGTTCTGTCTATTAATTAGATCATGGGTATCAAGTAAATTTTAGCCTCATGTTAAATAAAGTTTATTTTTAAATTTTTAACATTCTGCAACATTCATTTACAACATTTAAAAGCAAATTAAAAAAAAAAAAAAAGACTTAAAATTTTAAACATTGTTATACTTTGTATAATATTAGGATAGCCTAGCATCAAAAGACCATCAAAAGTTTCAAATTAAGTTATTTTCTCTACATTTTTCTTGCTGACCATTCTTGAGCACCCTCAAGAATGGTCAGCTATTAATTTTCAGTCAATTTTTTCTACTACAACTTAAATTCTTCATGAACAGGTTCCATAACAAACACCATATATATAGATATATAAATATCTATATATATCTATCTATATATATATATATAGATATATAAATATCTATATATATCTATCTATATATATATATATATATCTATATATATATATATATATATATATATATATATATATATATATATATATATATATATATATATATATAAATATATATATATATATATATATATATATATATATATATATATATATATATATATATATATATATATATATATATATATATATATATATATATATATATATATATATATAGATATATATATATATATAGATATAGATTATAATATATAGATATATATAATATATATATATATATATATATATATATATATATATATATATATATATATATATATATATATATATATATATATATATATATATATATATATATATATATATATATATATATATATATATATATATAGATATATATATATATATAGATATAGATTATAATATATAGATATATATAATATATATATATATATATATATATAAAATATATATTTTATACTGCTGAGTTAGGTGAGCATGATGATGTCATACTCACCTAACGTCAAATAGCCTGCTGCCGGGGGCTTCAGTACATACATCGACTGACAAATAGCCTGACTCGTAGTGGAGTGCTGCTACATCGACTGAGGGTTTGGTATGGGTCAGCAACCTTTTTATTCATTATTCTTTGTTTTTCCTCATCGTTTTCTAAAAACGCTCACTTAATTTAGGCTAGCAAAAAAAGTGAGCAATTGCGCATATAAATATGCTATAGTAGATATATATATATAGGCAGGTCATAAAAGTACTTTTTTAAAATTTTGAGAAGCAGCACTATGTGGTGTTTATAAATTGGTATAATAAATTATATAAACTATATAAAAAAATTTTACACACCCATAAGGGTTGCATCATACCCCACATTTTTCGCAAAAAATAAATTTTTTTAAATTTTTTTATTTAAATCTCTTAACAATTTTATTTCATTAATGTAACACTGTATTACATTCATGTAATGCAATTTTTAAGTTTTTAGTTATATTATTTTACTTTTATAATTTTAATATAGAATTTTACGTTCTTTATTAATTTGAACAATACTACTTTGGTATAATAAAATTTATGTTAATTTGGAACAATTAGTACAAGTTGCAGTTAATTTTAATAATATTTTATTAAGTCCTTTTTAGCCTATATATTTGTTATGTGTTTTATAGTATATTCTATTTCTTAGTAATTAATATAAATATAATTAATAAAAAGCAACTCATTATGGCAGCATTTCATACTTGGAGTAATACTGACAAGTTAACATTTGGGCAAGGTTCTAAATTTCTAACAGCAATTATACCTACAAAAAGAGATATAGTAAAATATTGCTTTTATTTACGCAGAAATGAAGATGCTAAATGCAAAGTGTCAAGTTCTGCTCATGAATATTATCGATTAGTTGTTAGAGAAATTATGTAGATTTTTTTTTTTAGGTTATTCAGCTCCCAGAAGTCCTTAGGATCTTATCAGGGAGCACTGCGGGAAAGCATTTAATTAGAAGTTCATGCCTCCTTCCTTACCAATGTCGCCTAATGGGCTAGAGTTGGCGTCGAACCTCGGACCTCTGGGTTCTGAGCCACATTTACTAAAATTAGATGGTATAAAATACAATCGCTAACCATAACCCCATTTTTCTATAAAACGCTATAAAACCTGGTTTTGCATGCGACCCCTATGGTGGCTAACACAGATCTCAAAATTACTATACAACCTTTATATATAAGTTGGAATCCTACAATATGAAAAAAAAAAATTTGACTTGCTCTAATATATATATATATATATATATATATATATATATATATATATATATATATATATATATATATATATATATATATATATATATATATATATATATATATATATATATATATATATATATATATATATATATATATATATATATATATATATATATATATATATATATATATATATATATATATATATATATATATATATATATGTTAAATAAATAGTTAGTAAATATTTAAGGTTCTATTCAAATTACTTTTAGAGGTACTTCTCGAATAGAGCGGATAAAAACAGAATCTGTAAGATATTATTAAATTTGTTTTTGGTTTGCTTAAAAGTTTCTTTAAACAAATCATTGAAATTTTGTTTTTATTAAATTAATTTTAATTTTGTTCACAGGTGCTTCAAATGTTTCCTACACGATATCTTTGTTGCAAGCCTAATATGCCTGTTAAAGTACTTAAAAAGTTTGTCCAATACAAATTCGATATCTCTTCAGAAACATTTCAGGTTTATACAATATGTGTGTGTGTATATATATATATATATATATATATATATATATATTATATATATATATATATATATATATATATATATATATATATATATATATATATATATATATATATACATATATAAATGCATTTTAGTATCAGTTATTGATTTATTAGAAAATTAAGTTCAAAAAATGTTTAGTGTGAAATAAGAATAAAAAAAGGGATAAAAGAGTTACTTAATCTCTAAAAACCAACTCTAATGCTCTACCAACATTGTTCAACAAAATGAATTGTGAACTCATTAAAATTTCTAACTGGTTTAAGTCAAACAAACTATCAATAAATATCGAAAAACTAAATGAAACATCTTTTACCCAGCTTCAAAAAAAAAATCTTCTTTCGAATATGCCTTTCTTGTATATTGATAATATTGAAATAAAGAAAGCTGAAGTTACTAATTTCTTAGGTGTTTATATTGATGGAAAAATCATGTTAACAACCTAAACAATAAAATTAGAACTAGAACTATAGGAATGCTATTCAAATCAAGACCTTTTTTAAATAAATTTACTTTAATTCAATTATATTACTCATTTATTCATTGCCATATTAATTATGCTAATCCTGCATGGGGTGGTGTAAATTAGTGCATCCAATACCGATAACAATTTTCAATACCGGTACTTCGGTACTGAATTATTTCAATACCGGTAATACCGGTATTATTTTTCTTATTTTAATTATTCATAATATGAATAAAATTTCAAGTAAATAGTAAAACTTCTTTGATTCAAGATGCTACTTTATTTTATATTAAAATTACATAGGGCTTTCAGAGAAACATAGGGCTTTCAGAGTATCATCTTTAAGAGATGGTTGTATTTTTTGTGACAATGTTGCCACTTGCTGAAAATCCACGCTCCGATTTTACACTTGTTAGCTTTACAGTTTTCAATTATTCGTATGAATTTTGTAAATATACACCTCGAGTTCCTCCATCTTCGAAAACTACCATCTCATTGCCTATTGTTTTAGATAAATTATTCGAAACGTTCAATCTTTCCTTATTGTTACATTTCTTATTATTCAAAATTGCCATGTCAAGCTTTTCTTTCAATGTTTCTTTCAATGTTTCTTTCAAGTTTGCAGTGTTGTCAACAGAATCGCTATCAGAAGATACACTTGTGGAAGGATTATAAGCTCGCTGACTGAGCCGATCATTCAGTCGAGCAATGGTATTTACAATAGCTGATTTGCTAAGGTGTTCGAAAGATAGCGCTGGATCCAAATTTTCATAACATTGATGGCCCTTGTGCAGATAGTTCAGTAGGCTGGAAAAAGTTGTATGTTGCTCATTGATTCATCGCACTAATGTAGCTTTTAACTTAACAGCTAAATCCGTGTCTCTATCATGATTAATGTTATTTATCATGAACATTAGTGTTGTATCGGCTGATAACAGTGTTGCATCATTTTGACACAGAATTAATGCAACACTGCTGATACATCATACTTCCACAGCCAATTTTACTGGCGCATAACATGAAACAACACCTAAAATTGAATTGAACTCCTTATCAGGCATTTCAATTTTGAATTCAAGGTCAATCAGCGAATGCAATTTTTCAATTTTACAAAATGTTGGAGCATTGTGTGTAAGCTACTCCAGAGAGTTTTGGAGTCAAGTATCAATGGAAGGCCTTTACCAAATTCTTCTACTGTGTATTTTTGAAGTGTTTGATCATTTTTTGTCGGAGAATGGCAAAAAAATTTCACAAGGATGCGCACCTTAGTGATTAACGGCTGCAGATCATCAGTCAGTTCAATAGGGTCATCTTTTTCACTCATTACAACTTAAAACCCGCCGGAAAAGTCTTCTTCGTCGTCATTGGTTTTGTTTGTGTCATCATCAGTGCTAATATCCTCATCACTTTCACTGATATTGTTGTAATTGCAGATTACTTTCAAGCCTCTTTTTGCACAAGTTGACGGTTTTTTGTACAAAACTTCTTGAACACCCAGTTGAATGCCATGCACAATGCACAACTTTTGTTTGCAATTACTGAAACGTCCCACTTTCTGCATTACAGAAGCTCCATCAGTAGTAATGCACATAATGTCTTCATCATAGTTCAGCATAAACTGTGTCAACACTTTTTGAACTAAATCAAGGCATTTTTCTGTAGGCAGAGAACCAACAACTCTAGCTAATCCAAGGCTCCAAAATTCGTCCTCGGTGTAAACGTTTACATTTAAATATCTGCTATTTTAATTGATGTCCATTCATCAAATGTCAAACTGAATTGCATCCCTTGTGATCAGAGGTTATTAAACTTAGATATTACAGTTTCTTTGATTATGTCTGCGTATTTTACTACCATATTGTGAATTGTCATCGTCGATTTTGGAACAACAAACCCACGAGCTTGTAGCTATGTTTTCAGCTCTGCTGACGTGACAAATATGCTAAAAAGTAGTCCATCAAGGGCAGTCAATCTAGAAAAAACTGCAGGCAAGGAATTGTCGTGTTGATTTTGTAAGAAGTTGGTGATCTGAGTTTTGGGTTTTTTGGCTGTTGACAAAGGTGCCAATGAAAACAAAACTGATGTCAACGCTGGATCTTGGACCAGTTTTCTCTTCAGTAAATCAATTTTATGGTTAGTTCTTAGATGTGTATGCAGTCCACTGGTACTGCCATCATTTGATTTTATATCTTTGCTGCATTTCTTACACTTTGCAAGTTGATTTTCTTTATCACGTAGAAAATAAAACCACACAGAATTTTCGTTAACTTGTATCCCGGTACTAAACTCTTTGAATACCTTTTGGGACATTTCATGTGTTTCTGAACTTTAAAGTAAATGAATTCCTTAGACATAAAATATTGATTATTAGTTCTTAATTAAAAGCACACAATTTTTTTTTTAATAAAAATAATCTAAAGTTTCAATTTTCTTGTAGTAATTTTCTATTTGCATTGAGTTTGCATTAGTTTTTTATATTTTTTATATTTCCTATTCACATAGCGTATTCATGTTCGCATGGTTAAAAATAGTAAACATTTCTGGAATGGAATGGAATAAATGCTGATTTCTGTAATGAAATTTCCATTATAGAAATCAGCGGTAGCAACTTTAAACTTTTCATTCATTGCGTTAGTGCAAAACACAAACACGTGCTCAGCAAGTGACATAATGCTAATATATAATAACATAATATATAATAAAAATAATATTTAATAAAAATAATATAACCCAATACCGGTATTTCAACTTGTTTCTCCGTGCAGCGACTTTGTTTGTTTCAAGGTTCGTGTTTCGGAGTTATAGAGTTGAGAGAGGGTTCTAACCACTATTAAGTAGCCTCCTCGTCTGTAGTGGCCTTCTCGGCCTTGAGGAGGTGAACTCCTATATCATTAACACAATTTAATAATAAACAATATCATTAAATATAAACTTATTAAAATTATAAACAAATCTGCTATAACCTAATTCTCTGTTCGTTAGTTTCTCAATGTTCTAATAGATATTTTTAATAACTTGTGGCTATGAAAATAGCAGTTTTTTTAAAAATTCAACACAAAACAGCTTATCAGTTTAACATTTTAGTTCATAATATAGATCTTTCTAGATTAGTTAATTACTAGTTAAAATTTATTTTTTAATTTTTTTTTAATTTTTAAAACTTTAAATTGTTATTATAAACTATATTGAGATTTCTTTACCAAAAAAAAAAAATTAACAAAAATAGTCTAAACTACTAACAATAGCATAACATTAAAAAAAATCACTCAATAGAGGTACATATCAAATAACACAAACTAATAATTAACTGTATCATAGTGTTTTCTGCCAAGAAAGTTAGATGTACATGACTAACTTGTGCAGCTTTGCTTTCTTTGTTTCTGGCTTCAATAACACTGTCAGAAAAAGAATTTATTGAAGGATACTTAAAATACCTAATAAAAGAAGCGTCATGAATTATATGTACAGATTTTAACATAGGTATGGTTTTTTTAAATGTTGTTAGTAATGATTGCAAATAGGTTTTCAGATTTCTGATTGAAAATCTATATCCGGTCTTGTAGTCGTGCTGTTCATATCAATAAGTTAGTCTCAAAACAACTTATTTATTCTAATTTAGGTGCTCTTTCTATTACACTATAAATAATAAAAAAATACATTAATGCATATACAACACCAGCAAAAATGTCAAACTTAAATTTTTTTTTTTTGAAACATAGTAAAGACAATATTGTGTGTGTGTGTTTATATATATCGCTGGTATAAAAGGGAAATGCACAAATTCCTTATTTGGCAGTATGGAGTTATTTATACTAATATTTAGTATTTTAAATTCTCTATCGTTTGATATACCACACAAATTAAATAAATCAATTATTAATGAGTTAATAAGGTTTTTTATTTCAACTATTACACAAAAACTTATTTTTTCATTGTTTCAAAATGATGTTTTTGGACTTAGCGCATTTCCCTTGTATAGTATGTAAGAGAAATGCACTTATACACACAGTATATTATGCATTCTGATGATATATATACAGTACTGGAAAAATTGTTATGGATTTTTCAGTTTTTAAATAAAAGTCAAGTTTTTAATTCAAAAGCAATCATAGCATAAAAATAAAGTTACAGATTATATATTCCAAGTAGATCAAATTTTTTAATACTTAGTTTGACCACCTTTGGCAGCTTTCAATGCTTTTACTCTCTTTTTTTCTCGGTCTGTATGCCTTCAGTTCCTGCTTAAAAAAGCGATTATTTACTATTTTAAGGCTTACATTAAAACCTTGACTTGACTAATTCCATAGATATCTTCTTGCAAAAACTTCTCTTAGGGCCATTACTTTGATCTTTCTCGCAAGTCTGGGGGTAGTGATTCTTTTGCGACCGTATGTTCCAACTCTTCCAGCTTCAACGTTTCTACCCTCATCCAGGTTCCTTTTCACTGCACTAACTGTTTGTGTTGAAATCTTCAATTTCATATCTCTTTTTGTTTCAGGCTACTATTCTCCAACAAAACACAGATTTGTCCTTTTTTTCTAGGGCTCAGGTCTTTTCTTTTCCCCATCACTTCAAAATCAGTCAGATTTTTCTGAACAACTATTTTTTTTTATTTTTTAGAACTGAAACTTAAAATTTGTAGAGTTCAAATACATACAGAGTACACCACACACCACAAAGAGTAAAAGAAAGTGACGCAAACTCAAATTAACATATTTCAGCTTTTCTTCTTCAGCTCTTAAATGACCCTAAAATTAAAAAAAAAAGATCTAAATAGATTTTATTTGACAATAAAATAGTCCGATTACTATATATATAAATGTCATTAAAACAAAAGAATATCATTGACCACTGAACACTGAAAACTTTTTGGTTGTCTCAACTAAGGGAGTTTATTTACAATTCTAAAAATCCATAATAATTTTTCCAATACTGTATATATATATATATATATATATATATATATATATATATATATATATATATATATATATATATATATATATATATATATATATATATATATATATATATATCAATATACACCAAAATAAAATTAATAACACAATCATAGATATACTTCTGAGATCTGTAGTCACTCGAGTAGAAGGAATTTTTTTTCCAATCGTAATATTCCAATTTGGAACAATTTGCTGTTTGATGTCGAACTTAATAAGTCAGTGTTAAATTTAAAAAAAGTCTTGATGAACTTTATTATGTGAATTAAAATTTTAAATTGTAGTTTTTAAACTTGCTGCTAAAATGAATTCCCATTCAGTGAGCATTTGCTTACCGCATTTAAATAATAAATGTTGCAAAATCGTGTATTTACTAAAGTTAAATATTTTTTACAACGGAATTATTTTAAAATAAGTTTCAAAACTGTTTAGATAGACTTGTGGCGTGGTGATGAAACTTTGATGGATAATCTTACACTGAAACAAATAGTACAAATATATGGTTTGTACAGAGAGGTAATTATTTTAATGTGTTTTAAGGTAAACTGCTTATAATTTACTTAAATATTCTTTTTGTTTTTACTAGAGAAAACCATTAGAACTGCATTTCAGTGTTTATCCTAATTCAAATGGCAGTAAAGAAACTGACGGTACTCAAAATGACGAGAATGTGGCGTCATAGAGGGAATGTGTCGGCAAAATTAGAATGTGGCGTTATAGCGAGAATGCCTCGTCAAAAAGACGGTTCTCATATTAAAATTTGGTGATTTAAAAAATGTCAAAACAACATCGGATTATTAGTTATAGTATGGTTTTTTTAAAAAAGAAACATCAACATCATATGAACATTTTTTAAATAAAACGAAAACATATGAACATTTTTTTTTTTGTGCCATGATTAACGTATTTATTTCAAAATTTTTAATTAGAATAATTTAATGACTGAAAATATTATCTTGTATTTTGTAGTTTCAAACTTTTTCATAATTGGAGTTATAAAGAATTTCATAGCAGATTTAAATAATTTTTTTTTGTTTTGCTCAAGTGCGAATATAAATATTGATTTTTTGTGTGCTAGAAATGATATATGTGTTTTTAAATGTATAGCACAAGTTAAAATTTAAACAAACCAGGAAAACAACATATAGTAGAATCTTATAAGGAACGTGGACCCTTGATTTAAATGTAAAATTTTATTTTTAAATTTAAAAACAGTTTAGGGGTGGCACACGACCAAAAAGAACTCTTTTTTTTTTTTTTTTTTACTATTTTTGGCCCATGTGTGCTAGTCTTAGACATTGTTGAATTAAATTTTTTTTTCTTTATTTATTCTCACAATGGCTAATATTGAAAAAAAAAAAAAAGTAGACACTCTTTGTATACATTTTTTTCAAAGTAATAAAGTAGGCAAAAAATATATACTTTTTTTCTATGGTATTTTTGATAACAAAATCCACTTAAATCAAGTTATAAATAAGCTATTAAAATATGCTATTATATTTTTGATATCAAACTTAGTGAAGTATCAAAAGTAAGCTGGATTAACTCTCCCATATTAATATACCTTTTTTTTTCTGTTGGAGGTAGTAAGTGACCGGGTTTAACATTTGACCGGTGCCGGGTTTGATAAAATATAGCCGGGGCCTGGTTTGTGACCAAGGCTGCATAAACATTTATACATCCTAAAATATATATTTTTAGTTCAAAATTCATGTTATATTTTGTATATATATGCATATATAAACATTATGATCAATAGTATCATTATTATTATCATGATCATGATGATCATCATTATTAGGGTTTAGCCTTCCTTTTTTATGCAGTTTCTCTTATATAAACAATCTAGAGCATTTTTTTCCTTAACCAAACCTCATTCATACAATATGTAGAACACTCTCTTCTTTCTTAAGCTATCTTAATTCTACCACTATTATTTTCTATTGAAGATGCTACCTCTCTAGATGCTGATATTTCTTTTTTAAAATTAAATAATTAAATAAGCTGATACCTAAAAACTTTATTCTTTTCTAACAAAAGTTGTTCGATACAACGTTTTTTCTAATCTGTCTAAGATTATGCCTCCTTTTCTTGTCTTGCTAGAATCACAACATACATCCATCTGATCATCTTCTCTTTCGGCAAATACTACACTATATAAATACTAAAGTTTATATAACAATGAAAGGATATTCTATGCCAGCATCTAGATAAATAGCAAACATATATGTTTATATTAATAATATGTAATACATATTATGTATGCATAACGTGAATCTTGAAAGCTTTTATTTCTTATGGAATAAATGCTTAGAAGCTTTTATTCCTTATGGAATAAATGCTTAGAAGTTTTTATTTTATGGAATAAATGCTTAGAAGCTTTTATTTCTTATGGAATAAATGCTTAGAAGCTTTTATTAATTCTCTCAATTTTAATTCAACCCTCATTCTACTCCACATTTTTAACCATCTTGAGTAGTTCCTTTATTAGACAATTTTAATTTTTTTTCATCTTTTTACAAGAACATCTCTCTTAAGAACCAATGTCCTTTTATTATTGCAAGAAGCCAATTTAAAAAAGTCTTGTCTGATGTTAAGGTGGCACACAACTGAAAACAAGTTTTTTTTGTAAATAATCAAAATTTTGATTTTTTTTTTTTTTTAATGACAATTAATTTATATCAAAATAAAATAAAAAACAGATAATTTTTTAATTAATTAATTTTATTATCCATAATGGCCAAAAATGTGTTGTAAAACATGTGTTTTTAGTAAATCTTCAAAACTTTCAAAACATAGCTTCCTAATCATATTTCACCCTGCTTGACCGTGGGAATTTTTATGATTTAAATTATTTCATGAAATATTGCATTTCTAACAAAATCACCTAATATATATATGAAATATCAATAAATCCAGCACTATAAACATCAATATTTCACTTTCTATAAATTTTTATGAAAATTCTGAGGGTTAAATGAAGTATTATATTATGATAAACAAATCCTGAAAATTTTATTATGTAATTCTGTTTTGTTAATGAGAAAATGTGTTTCAAAGTTTAAAAAAATACATATTGAGAAAAAAGCAAAAATAAGAAAAAAAAATATAAGAACATAAAAATTATCAAAATCCACCAGAGATGTAACTATCAGTTGTTTCTTTTATTTGCTGATCGTCTATGAAACCTTTTTTAACTGCTTTTATTTTTTTTCTCTGCATTTTACTTTTATCAGTTGACTTTGACTTCATATGTCGAATTCTGGTTTTGTCAACTTTACTTGACAAAGCTAATGTAACAATTCCATTCAAGCCAAAGTATTTTAAAACTTCTAATACACCATTAGCACCATCATTATAATGCAGCACTGCTGAGTATGTTCCCATTTCAATTGTAGACTTACTAACAAATGTGTGCTTTGGAACCATTAAATTCTATTATTTGAGACCAAATAATAGAATTTAATGCTTCATTGGCATTTTGCGTCGTTCCATGCAAACATTTAATTAGAAGATCATCAGCCTGAAGATCCTTGATGATTGGTAAAATAAGATTCTTAATCCATATAGGTATACATGATTTTGATTTGTAATTTGTATTATTTAGAGCCCAATATTTGCACCAACTTGTCAATCCTCTTGGGCAAAACTGATGTTGCATTTGCTGGTTTTCAAAGTTGGTAAAATGAAATAAAATAGCATAAACTGCCTTTTTCATAGCATATAAGTTGTTGACATTTTGACGAATGGCCATGCCATAATAGTTATGCATAGAATTTATACATTTTTCTGTTAGGTTACCTCTACCCGATAAAGGTGTTTTAGTGCCTTTGTGTGCTTTGACTAAATTTCTAAGTTGTGTACCCAATCTTTTTTGTACATGACCTACACATTCAAGTTTTATTGGAGTGATGTCAAAATCCTGGTAAGGGTTTGAGTTTTTGACATCTTTGAATGAAGAAGTGTCTCCATCACCTAGAAACTCTTTATAAATTAGATTATTTTTTTTAACCGAGCGATTAAAAATTGTTACTGCTCCTGCAGACTCCATACTTCCAGACGAAGATTTGTGATTTATTTCACATTGATGGTCAATTATCCAACACTGATATTCTGGAGTTCCTTTTTTACTGTTCCACATTTTACAGCCATGCAGTATTTAGACAAAACTTCAATATCAATGCATTTATCACCAGAAATCGCAGTAACTACACTGTGCAATGAATTGTGACCACGTTTCTGCCATGTACCATCAGTTGAAACTCTTACACATGGTATATCCTGAGCAATGTCAACTTTTTCAGAGTCCTTAATCGCTAATAACATACTTTTCTCTGAAGCACTTTTATAAGCTACCATAATAGTTTTGTTTAATTTTTGAAATCCATTTTCAGATATACATTTTAAGTTCATGCAAGATGAAAATGTTTTTATAGCTCCATAACCACAGCCTACTTCTCGAAAAGCTATTATTGCACGAATATTAACATCATATGGTGAGTTAGCTGTTAGTGCATCAAATTTAGCATTTATTGATTTGTTTGATGAATTGGATCTTTTAACATAATCACAGTGTTCACATTTTAATTGAAACAAATGTGCAAATCCTTTTCTACTGGAATCAACATCTGTTAAAAGTAATGGCTGAAAGCAGTTGTTACATGCAGTTTTAGCTATAAGTTCTTTAAGAATTGAAAAATTAATAAAAACAAAATAGTTATCTTTTTCAGAATCAAATGTATTCGAGTAGTTGAGTTTGATTTTTCTTTCACTAGAACAGCTACTTGCTGCTTGAGTTGTGGACGATGTCATCGTCGATGATAAGATGTAAGAAGAAGATGATTTTTTATTTCCAACAACACCATACCATTTTCGTTTTATCCTTCTTGATAAATTTTGTTTAGTTTTATTTCCTTGTTTATTCATTTAAAAATAACTTTATTCCAACTAAATTGAAATCACTTTTTAAATTATTTGGTATAAAATGAGAGAAAAGTTACAGTTTAAAAGACTAACATTAACAGATTAAAATCACTCTTGTTCTTAAATAAAATTTTGAATTATGACTTTTAAAACGGAGAACTAACAAGAGTCTGCGTATAACAAATTAAAACCAAGTTTGTGGAGTTTCAACAGTTCAAGAGTTTCAGCTGGAGTTTCAACAGTGAGATAAAAGAGGCAGCCGGGCCATTACAAACATGTGCTAGACATGAGGCAGGAGCCGAAACGGCTGTACATGCCATGAAGGAAATATTCGACATTGTGCAAACAGATGCAATTCTTTTGATTGACGCAAAGAACGCTTTTAATTGTATGAATCGACAAGTCGCCTTACATAACATCCAGATCATTTGTCCATTAATTTCAATTTACTTAATTAATACTTATCGAAATCCATCGAGACTCTTTGTGGCAGGGGGTAAAGAAATATCATCCCAAGAAGGCACAACTCAAGGTGATCCCCTTGCTATGCCATGGTACTCTTGCAACACCACGATTATTATAGAACACTTACTTGTAAATTACCCACAAGTTAAGCAGGTGTGGTTAGCAGACGATGCTGCAGCTAGTGGAAGCATTGGAAACTTACATAGCTGGTATCAACACCTTATTGATGAAGGATGTAAACATGCCTACTATGTAAACCAATCTAAATGCTGGTTAATTGTAAAATCCCCCTCGTTAGCAGAGAATGCAGGCATAGTATTTGGTAAATCGGTCAACATAACTACAGAGGGTCAACGACATTTGGGTTCAGTAATAGGTTCGAAAAATTTTAAGAACAAATATTGCACTGAGAAAGT